GATTTAAAATGTTAATAAATACGGACTATTTCTTGAATTGTAAAATTAAAAATAAAAGTTTTGTGGTGCTGTTTATATAATTCTGTTATGTAATAACTGAGATATTGTTTTATTCTATTACATAATTATTTAAGTAATAAAAAAATAAATTATTAAATATGTATATTAAAAAGTAATATTAAACTTAATGTTTAATATAGTTAAGCATCCTTACTTATCTATTTTTCATATTCAATGATATAAAACGACAATGTTTTGCTAAACTATCCATTTTATACTGTTCTTCGTACATTAATTAATCCAAATTGTAAGATCTGGATATAACAGGTTGAGAAAATCGAAATTTGAGTTAAAGAGTAACATATAAAATATAATTAAATGCAGCTGGAAGTTAGGACGTTCCTGGAGCGATTTTTAAAAATAATTTGTTCTATTTTTACTTTTGCACAATGAAACTTTTAAGTGCCATACACAAAATAAGAAGTAAACCGACTCGGTGTACCCTGCGGAAGACACTCTTATACTTAAAATACCAGATCACTTAAAACATTCTCTTTTCGCCAAAAATCGTTCATCCCATTTCTTCTTTTTTACAGAGAAACTTCTCGAGTGCACTACAAAATGCAAAATAGACTGATTGGAAGACATATTTATAAAAATCTGTAGATAACTTCTTCTATACAACATCAGAAAAGGAACTGATTATCAGTATTAAGAAATTCTACGTAAAGTATAGTTTTTAATATATAAAATTTAAAAATGGTTGAAAAAAATGGTTAAAAACGTGCCAGTTAAAAGCGTACCTTTAATTAAATAATTTTTTAAAATAATTATTTTAAAATATAGGAAAATTCTTTTAATATTTAAATATATATAAATCAAAATTAGAAAACTTAATAAGTAAAAAACAAAAATTTTGTAAAACTTGCGAATCTCAGAATTTCCGCAAATTCTGAGAATTAATTTTAATTGTCAAATAATGCTAAGCACGTGCGCATAACTTGTAAAAATAGGCTATGTTCCGGTGTATATTGCAGTATTGAAATGCTATAGTGTATGTAACGTACGTAATTTATGGAACATAACCTATAAATCTGCGACGTATAATAGTCACATAGTTGATGGTACAGTTGTAAATACACAATAAAAAAATCCATAATAATCAATTGTCAGATTGTCACAATTGTATAGTAGAAGTTTTGCTTTCTATAAAAATTTTATCACAATGGGAAAAACCTCAAAGGATAAACGCGATATATATTACAGAAAAGCGAAGGAGGAAGGATGGCGAGCTCGAAGTGCTTTCAAATTACTTCAAATCGATACTGAATGTCACATTTTTGACGGTGTGTGTACAGCAAAAAACCTGTTTTAATTATATTTTATCATAAAGTAAAATTTCCATTACTATAGAATTAACATTAATATAAGAAAATATTTCTATTTTCTTTCAGGAGTGTCCAAAGCAGTGGATTTATGTGCTGCACCTGGAAGCTGGAGTCAGGTCTTAGCTCGTAAGCTAAAGTAAGTAAAATTTCAGAAAAGAGATATAATTCTGTAATATAAAAATATTCTGCAATATAAAATTACATTTTTTGTAATTAAAAATAATTATATATTCTTTTTTTTGGTAGTGAAAACTATAAGAGAGCTTTAGAAAATTTTGGAGGTGATGCATCTCCTCCAAAAATTGTGGCAGTTGACTTGCAAGCAATGGCACTCTTGGAAGGAGTTATTCAATTGCAAGGTGATATTACCAACACCAAGACGGCAGAACAAATTATTGCACATTTTGATAATACTCAAGCAGACTTGGTAATGTGTGATGGAGCACCTGATGGTATATATCTTACATGTTACTTTTTACTTTTTTAAATTATATTTTATAAAACCTAAAAAAAGATACAGGTTAGAAAGTTTTTTATTTTATCTGCAGTGACTGGTCTGCACGATATGGATATATTCATCCAATCACAGCTATTATTAGCTGCTCTGAACATAACTACACACATCTTAAGACCTGGTGGGACATTTGTGGCGAAAATCTTTCGTGCTAAAGATGTGTCATTTTTGTATGCTCAATTAAGGATATTTTTTCCTTATGTTTATTGCACAAAACCTAGCAGTTCTCGTAACTCAAGTATTGAAGCATTTGTAGTCTGTAAGGACTATTCGCCACCAAAAGGTTATAAGCCACACATGCTGAATCCTTTGCTAACACATGAACCATGCAACTTTGAAAAACTGACAGATGTTAATAAGATTATTGTCCCATTTGTCGTTTGTGGGGATCTAAGTCAGCCTGATTCAGACACATGCTATCCATTGAATGTGAGTATAGCATTATTATATTTATTTTGTTTTTTATACTCTATTTTTATACTCTATTTCATTACTCTTTGGTTTTATCATTGTTTAAATATATTTGCAGTATGAAGGAAAAAATTACGTATATCATGAACCAGTACAAACACCCATAGCACCTCCTTATGCAGAAGCTTTGTCTCTGTTGGAAAATGGAAAAAAATCTGGAGATAGCGCTTTCGTTTTTGATCATCACGTCGACTTTAGTGAGATTGTCAATATAGAATCAAAACATGGTGCAATGTTCGAAAAAAGAAAAGATGCTTTCTAGTGCCCTCAAGAATGAGATAAGTGCAATCACGAAGGCTTCACACGATCAGGATAAGGAGGATGAAGCAACCGATACATTAAAAAACTTGTACAAGTCTGAAGAAAATAACGATACAGATAACAACTGAGAGAAATAATTGATTTATTTATCGAATATATAGAATAATTTTTATATTTTAAGAATAAATTTTTTTACTTTTTTAAACAATTAACATAATTTCTAAAAATCGAAAATAACTATGTATATATCAAGATCTTTCGAATATTTAGAGCTATTAGTTTCACTTAAGTGAATTTTCTTCATTTAGTGATTTATTAAAAAATAAAATTTTTGTAAATTTAGATCAAATAATCCAAATTTTGTAATTTTTAAATATTAATTAGTAGTAAATGAAACTTTATATCAAAATTTTAATTTTTTTAATTATAAAATATGTAAATTAAAAAATGCAGAAATTGTTTCTGTATTCCATTTTCCCCAAGCAAAGCGTTTATGAATTGTAAAATAATTTCTCATTCTTATTTTATATAACAAATTTAAAATTTATATTTATATTTGTAATAAGTAAGACCTAACCAAATCTCACCCTAACTTACCTACCCTACCTATTATATGTATACCTACTTTACACACTTGTTCATCTAACACCTGTAAACACTTCTATGTTACACGATTCTACGGACGTACTGACTCGCTGTCGAGTTTATAAGTAAAGTCGAGCTTATAAGTAAACGTCGACAATCGCGCCCGGACATGTGGAAAAACAAGATAGTTATTGAAAGCAGTACATTTCAATTTCCGAAGCGAAATTCTGTTTGGCAGACCGAAAGAGTTTGCCAGTTTTGTAAGAAGGTATTCTGCTGCAAAAAATGTCGCGATCGTCACGTGGACGAAGTGCATCCCGATCTGAACGTTAACTGTGTTTTATGTGCTTCTAAGGCATTGCCACTGCGACAGTCTGAAATTGAAATTTTTTTAGAAGATGAGCAATTGTTGTGTCACATAGTTAATAAACATCTGCCGTTACATTGTCAGCTGTGTGGTGACTTAGTCGAATCTAAGGAAGATTTCAAGTCTTTTGGTAATTTGCAAAATAATAACAGAATAAAAAAACTTTAGTCTCAAAACTTGCAAAAATAAGAAAATTATTAACACGGTTTCAACTTGCATTTAAATATAGCGTAAAAATAAATGAAAAAAATAAAAATTAATATTTTATTTTTATGAAAATGATCATTAACAATTTGCTAGAAAATAGAAACGTTTTTCAAATATGCGATCTTTTTTTTTCTGTTCGAAGCTAAGAATTCTTACTTGAATGCAAAAACATATATATATATATAAATGTTGGAGCCATGAAAAACAAAGAACGAGAGAGTAAGAGAGAGAATGAGAGGGGGAAAAAAGAGTTATATATTCGAAGGACATTTCCATTTTCATTCAAATTTTAAAGTAGTGAATAATAATATTAATATTGTATAACTTTACTCTAAATTATGAAATTTATAAGAATTCTAAAAATATAAAAATGAATGAGAAAGAGAGTTATGCAAATTGATATAAATAGTAAAGTAACGTTTATTACTTCTAAAATTATACAAATTGTACATTATGTATGAATTTAAAATCTACAAGTAGAGCTTTTTAATTAACGGATTAATTTCAAATTTTTTAAATAAATCTTAGGTGCATGCAAATGGTGGTTTCAATATCGAAATCCTTTGACATCGCCTGTGGACTTCGCACCTCTCGAGAAGAAGTTGAAGCAGTGTTTTTTGATTGATAGCGACTATAACGGTAGCAGATTTTCCACGCCGTCCGAAATCCATCAATATAATATCAATTGTCCTCATTGCGATTTTTATGTCATTTCAGTTAAAAGCTACAACTAAAACCAAGGAGCAAATCAAAGAGGATGTCAATATTTTACTTTCTAAATTGAAGCTTTCTGAAAAGAGAAGTTTTCTTCCTAGCAAACTTTCCGGTGGTCAACAAAGAAAATTGTGTCTTGGAATGACGCTCATTGGTGATGCTAATGTAAGTTGTGACACAGTTACAACGTGCATTGCACGTATGGATTTAAAAAAATTAAATTTACTTTTAGATTATAATCTTGGATGAGCCAACATCGGGAATGGATCCTGAAACCAGACGAG